ATCTAGCTGCAGATTGGTTGTCCAATGTTCCTTCTAAATTGGGTCAAATGATAATGAAATTGCGCTTCTGTGCGGCTGGGTTGGATGGCTTATTGCTGGCGCCATGCTTCGGTAGGGACAGTTTTACATTAATTTGATCTTTGACAGATTATAAATCACAACGTTGCCTTTAGAAATTCACATCCACTTATGATTTCTTGCTACAATACTTGAAAGATGAGCAGGCGAATAAGCAGCAGATTATCAGTGAAATGTTTCTTCATTGGTTAAATAAAATTGTGTCATTGTACAATGCATCCAATACATGGCACACATCCCAGCACTGTGGTGTATTCTACTTAAATGCATTAAAATCAAAAGATACTGTAAGTTTATTTTAACAAAACCCAGGGCGTTTACAGTGTGAATCACATAGAGAAATATGCAATTGAATTAAGGTTTAGTGTGTTGCTACTATTGTCTCTCCCGAGAATCCTGTGTGTACATTTTGAGAAGAAACCGCACCTCGTACCCGGCACCTCTTCTCTGCCCGTCACCACCTCCTTCACCGTTACGCAACACATGTAAAACTAGGAAAGCTTTTAAAATTTCTTCAGTTACACAGCAAAATTACATAATTACTAGTTACACTCAAACTATTTACATGTATTTTATCTAATACATCAAATCTCACTATGTTAGACCTTTTAGTACAATGGACATGCTAAATATATGTAATTTAACACACAATTACAATTTTCCACCAAAAAACCTGTTTTTCAGTACAGAAGAACTCTGTTTTTTCTATTTTTGCTCTTTTATGATCCTTAAATACACCATTAATTTGTTAAAATTTGTTAAAACTCCTGCTGTTATAAAAACAAAAGGCAGAAACAATTATGGGGCAGTTTTGATCTTTCAAACTGAATTATATTTTTTGCCCATTAGGAGGAACAGGTTGTTAACCAAACATCAACATATTACATAGAGCAACGTTTTTACGTTGTAAAATGAATCTTCGCTCCATCGCTGTGTGTTATGGGCCCCAAGAAAGCAATTAGAAGGTTTGCTGTGGAAATGGCCTTTCATATATTTGAATGTATCCAGCATTACTGAAAAAAGAATAGATTGTTTTCTTTAAGCTGGTCCATGTTGTATTCGTTATTGTCAAATACTAGAAAATGATTAGGAGGAAAATTGTTCATGTGTTACATGTCCTGCATTGCACATTAGCATAGTCACATTAGCCACGACAGAGCGGTCATATCGACAGAGTAATCAGATCTGAGCGGGTAATATCGCTCTCTCTGTTCAAGAAATGAATGATTAGTGGTGGACGCAGAGATGTGACACTTCCTAGATAGCAAGATTCAAAATTAAAACAAAGAGAGGCAGCAGAAGACAAGATGTGGTCAAGAGGTCACGGAGGATGAGACAGTCAGTCTCCGCCTGCTTCCTCTCCTGTCACTGCATATCAGCACTGGGTTACTGCTAAAATCTCACTTCACCATCCTCTGCTCACCCACTCTGGGGAAATAGAAGCAAACAAACAAAACAATAAAGGGAGAAACAATACGTGACACAGATAAGCCTAGATAAGAAAACAATTAGGAAATGTTGATTCTGACACAATCGATTAGAATTTTTACATATTGCCTGCTATCATGAAACTCTATGAAGGTTCACCTAATTAGCGAGGGTGATTTTTTCTGCAAAATTCTCCACCTCCAAAAAGCATAGTACGTACCGTCCACCCATAATGGTGTGATGGACAAAATATAATTAACTTTTTGCTAAAAGACAGTAGATTTGAAAACAAATGGAAGACGTATGGAAGATCCAGGGAGATTTTTCTTAGTCTGAATGTGCAACAAATGTGGACAGAACCTCATTGCAGCTCTAGAAATGTATTTTTTACGCACACTGCAAACTGCAGAATCCTTTGCATGATAGAGCGCCATTTTAATTTTGTTCTGGGTTTGTTCTTACTAACAACTGTAGTCCCAAAATTGAAAAAATATTTAAACTATAAAGACCAAACATATGTTAAAATGGTGACATTCAGTGTAATACCACATTGCACCACTTCAAATAACTAGTCAACATTGAACGCATCAGAAGACGCCATGTGCCCAGAGGCGTGGACACTGCCTACCGCACCAACTTTAACCCAATCATCATAGAAGAACTCTGTAAACCAATAGAATAGTTTTCACACCTTTCCGATTGTCTATATATGTACGTGTTTTATGTGAGTGAAACCGGTAGACAGTTAACTACGTTGAAGTCAAAGGACTCTCTGTGGCCTGTGGACTGGAGAAGCTCGCGAATCCTCGATCGAGGTGTTAACTTTTTAGCGCAACGCTTATTCTTTTATTAAACTCTTTCGATCTAACTTTTTCGATCTGCGGTATCCTTTGTTCGTCCGGAGTTTTCTTCATTTTTGAACACAATACTATGATGCTCGCTTGGTGGTCTTACGATGTTACCCTGCATGTTGCAGCACTGATGTTATCCTAAAACACAATTGCCTCACAAGTTAAATGTGTGTTTTAATGGTGCAAGCACCACATGACAGCTTGAAACAGTGTGCCCTTCTGACACTAGCCGTATGCAACTGTCCCCACAATGAAGTTTGTTTAATAAGTCCTCCATCCCAGCAAAGATACGGGAAGAGCAATGACAGATCAGTTATCTCCTTTGGCCAATAGCTTTAGTGTGTGAAGTAATTAGCGGATGTGATTAACTCCTATTGTACTAGAAAGGGTTCATTAGCAAACCAGTCTAAGGCGCACGTAGCATCGACTTGATTTGCCGGTGACCTACATGGGACGGGAAGTTAAAGCGGCTTTGTCGTGAGACTGCCAGGCTCTGTTGATGCTGTGTTTACACCAAAGTGTGATCACAGAGCAGTTATGTTTCTAACAATTGCCCACAGAATGCAGATGAAGGATATTGTCTCCTCACTTGGTGCAGATGGACATTCATCCCGATATGAAAGGGTTTGTGCTCAGAGAACGTGCTGCCTTTGTGAGTCACACGTTTTGTTCTGAAGCCTGTCCAATGTCCTGTGTGTGCGTTTCTTTAATTCAGCACAGCTAAATGATGCTCCTTGTTCCTTCCTATCTGTCTGTAGGGGACCAACTGTTGCGGTACAGAGAGAAAATCACCAGGGATAATCCTCCTCCTGTACGATACTTCTGTGGTTCATGTTTTACGAGAGCTCACCGGGACGCCCCCACAGGGAGGATCTGTTTGTCTCCCATGAATCCCCTGTAGATGTTAAATCATTGATAGCCTCATTGAACTGTGCTCACCAATAACTAGTCGCTGATAACTCAGTTGAGCGCTCATCCGGGCAGTTTACACATCGGATCCCCTTGTTGATGAATTACTGTGAAGTCGCTCGCGTGGTTAGTCGCGGTTCTGGTTTCTCCCGGCGTCGGTAGCCGACGGATCTGGTGTGATGTTTGTGGATCTACCTTTTTTTTCTATCGGCTGGGTGTGCAGACGGGGAGGATTGACCTGCTGCGACCTTGGAGGAGTGCCCTGGCAAGGGGACGACGGCGACCTCGGGATGGGCAGGACATGCTGCAATGCAGCAGAGCACATCGGTGGCGCTGCATGCTCTCACACACACTCACACACACACACACACACACACACACACACAAACCTCAGCTCACCAGCACACTACACACTCACAAGCACACCTACTCTACATAAACACAGCGCTGTTGAAGACTGATCAATAGAAACACACACACGCTTTCTCCTCCTGGATAAGCAGTGGAGGGTGTGTCTTAATCAACCTGCCGCTGTCTGGCTGGCTGAAATGCACACACCCACATGACTCTGCATGTTCAGCCGCATGTTAACAGGCGCATGCTCACACGTGTTTACTTCCACATCTCTTGATAGATGCACACATGTGCACGGAGGGAGAATATCTGTGGGTGCACACACACACACACACAAGGTACTTTGATGTGGAAGTAACAAGTGAGCAATTACATTAAGTATTATATAACGTCATTTATAGCACCAAATTAATACACTAAAAATATTGCACTGATTCCAAAATTTATACTGGAAAGCACCGAAAATAACTTTGCAAAATCCTTCCTATCACTGTTTTATTTTTCAATGCTTCACAGATCCCATAGGAGGACGATATGTAGCAGCAGTACAAAGTTTTCTGATTTAAGTCCAGCAGAGCACAGACCCTCATTAAAGATATTTTTTGAGGCAAACAAATAAATCCTAATCACTCAGAGCAATCCCATCAAACTGAATCAGCCTCAGTTTGCGTCGCTGAGTGCACTGATAATCCTTAAACCCAGTGGATGACCTAATACATATTCGTATTTGTTGTGACCTTGTAGTCTGAGATATTTTGTTCTTCTGTTGCTAAAAGCGCCTTTGTTGTCCTAAAACTATTAAAAATAAGCCTATGAGCCACACTATTGGATTGATAAACATGAAAAGTCTAGTTTCTTTTGATTCAAGGCTGCATTTGCTGCCCTCTAACTAAGCAAAAGAGCACCAAATGTTCGTTAATTTGAGGCTGAAAATGTTATAGAAATGCTCTGTTTACTTCTGTTTGAGTGTGTTTGTTGAAAACTTCATTGTTAAGCTCAGGAAATTTTATTACAGGAAGGCGATGGGTGCAGAGGAAGGGCATCTGCCTGCTACACTTCCAGTGACTTAACAGGAAAATACTCCCAGTTCGACCCTATTGTGTCAAAACCGACAGGATGGGAAATGGCGACGTAGGATGTTTAACATGCGAAGGTTCGGATGTGTTTTTGCTTGATTATTTAACCATATTGGTTTGCACACACAAACAACTAAGACTCTTGCTCTGATCCTTTTTTCATTCCTGGCGTATGTGACTTTCCCAACCTTATAATCGGCTTCAATATGTGTCTAATATCACATGTGGCTGCAAAATCAAAGGTCAGCACACGCTCGCCTGAGTCATTCCACAGCAAACTGAAATAAAACCTGAACAAGCAATGCACTTTTACATAAAGAAGTCTGTTTATTATTTGTTATATATCGTATGCATCTTCATATAATAGTTCTAACACCAGTCAAAAATAATAATTATAATATATTTATATATAGATATATAGAAAACTATTCCAATAATCTACTTTTTACTTCACTTCCTTGTAAAAAAACGACATGGAGAAACATATAATCTTCTCCCCAGCTTCAATATAGGCGCTTTAAGGGAGTAAAGAAGATACAAAAAAGAAAGATTACACCTGAACACTTGCATCTTATAGAACTAGAACATCTGTCAGCAGCTTGTAATGATGCCCATCTCGGTTTAAGACACAGGAAGAGGTTGTTTTTTTACTTTGCTAGAACATCTTTGACAAATATGCTTTTTGTTTGTTTTTAAATTCAGCTTAAACGTCTGAAAACATTGAAGAAAATGGCAACCATGTGACCAGCTGGATTGGAGAGACAGAACATTAGATTACACCAGTCTCATTACACACAGAAGATAATGGATATCTGAGGAAGAAAAGGGAGGAAGGAGAAAGGAGTCCGACCGGGGAGGAGGAAGTGTGGAAAAATAAAGGTTTAGAACAGCAGGGGATAGAAATGTTAATTCATGTGCTTCTCCGCCAATGGTGTACATTTGTAAACAGAGGATAGCAGCACAAATAGTGGAGAGTCCTTTACGTCTCCAGCGTCCCTCCGTGTCTCTGGGACGTGGCTGTGTCGCAGTCGGAAGGGGGAGATATCCGCTCTAATCCACTGAGCTGTGGCCTACTCTTTTTTTTCCAGCCGTGCTAATAGCATCCTTCCCCAAACCCCCTCTCCTCATAAACCCTCGATATGTAGAAATGACAACATGGAGGCAGGCGGTTTCAGGGCTATGGACGCGGAAGAAGCCACGGACGGCGGGCCGTTCGGAGTCGGAGAAGACGGCGTCCGGGGGCTCTCGTGTCCACGAAGGCCAGAGGAGGGCTTTACCACTGTGACCTTTGCTCCGCTTGAGGAGACCCGGGGTCAAGAGGAGGCATCAAAGCTGCACAGGAGTAGAAGAACAGGAAGGAGAGAGGCTGTTCATACTTTGAAAGGTCTGTGGGGAAGTATTGAACAACTTGTCAGATAGATATAAATCCTGTGGAAGCAAATGACATAATAATAATAATAATGGTCATCACGCTAGGCTGTTGTGTTGCTAATCAGTGACGGATAATTCGGTTACCGCTTGCACCTTCCTCTACCTCAGCAGAGAGCAGAGGGAGCAGCGTAGGACCTGACTGCAGATCCTTGTTTTTTCTCCATAGCTTTTGTACTATGAAGAACACTTTCTTCTGTTCCTCAAGCGTGAGGTAAGATGGAGAGGGCTGAAAAAGGGCACACAGAGGCGACGGCAAGGAGAAAGACTGATGGGAAAGAAAAAGGGGAGGATGCATTTGTCCACAGGTTGAAAAGGTCATCGTTTAAGAGAGAATGACTGTGAGAATAAGTGTGTTTTATGCACGTTCCTATGTGCGTGTGCTCGGCCTGGTGGGGGCGCGCACATCCCCCCCCCCCCCCCCCGGGGGAGCAGGTAGGTCTTGTCTGGCAGTGATTAAATATTAACGCAGCCATCTCGCCCTCCCACTGGGGCCGGATTGAAGATGTAGGATGGCAGCACGGGGACAGGACAGGGTCACCCCTAACTCTGTGGTCCCACTGTAAACCCACTGTGATTACACCGGGGCCACACCGAGAACGCAAACACATCGCTCATCTGGAATTAGCCCGCCGGGCTGACCCCACAATGACATGCGATCGCAACGGAATATTAATCGCAGATATTGTTTCACCGAATCATCCACAAAACGACAGGGTGAAAATATTAAATTATTCTGTCTAATCCCAACAGAGCAATTTCTGTTTGTCCTCATAAACTACAATCCAACCCAAGTGGCAAATGCGAAAGGGTCTCAAGGCCGCAGGCGTCATTAGGCTGTTGTTCTTCTTTGAAAGACTCTGAGTGATAGGACAAGGTTTAAGAAAAAAGAAACAAGGCTGAGAAGTGTCCTTACCTGTCCCATAGCTTGACGTTCCTACAGTTGTTGGTGCAGCAGCCGGCTGATATCAAAGCTGTGACGAAGAGACGAGAAGAGAGAGAGAATGTGTTTGAATGTGTTGCTCAAAACTGCCTGATGTCAAAAGGTGTTTACTCTGGACGCAGCCAGGCCCTTTATGCTAAACAGGCCTAACTCAACATCGGATTCATTCATTTCCTTCTATTTGTACAGTTAAATCTCACATGCTTTCATATTTGTCTACTATAAACACAAAGAATTTTGAGACAATAGTAACAACCCAATTGTGCAGGTAGATGAGCTTTTAGAAATCCACATAGGAGGATTTATTCGGTTGACGTAATGGATTAAACAGAAACATGCTCTCTGACACTGACAAGAGAAAGACATCAAACCAGATTGCAATAACCAGGATTGTGTTAAACATACGTGTCTGACATCCCTGACCAGAAAACACTGTGAGGGGGTTTCTCTGCTTGGCAAGAAAAATGTTGCTGCCAAACTAAACGGCGTTAGTTTAAAGGCCAGAACTTGCTTTGGGGAAAAATGTGAAAAATGCTTTTACCATAAAGCTGTCCAAGTTTAAAACAAATATTATTCCTCTGTACATAGTTTGCCCTTCAGAACAATTCTTTCATCTTTGCCCCCCCCCTTGCTCTCTTTCTCTCTCAACAAACATTTTCCTCCACATGAGCCTATAATCATGTTTTCAGCACTCTTTCCTCTCCTTGGCAAGCTAACATCTCTCGTTAAAGATTCATGGCGCTCTTGTGACCGCTGAGTCCATGAAAGATTCCGGGCGAGCCACCTTCGCCGAGTTCCCCGGCCTCTCCCTCACTAGTCGAGCGGGACGCCGTGTAGGGCTGCAGGGAATTTTCATCTGGAGGTCAGAAGCTCGCCGATCAGCTAAGAGAGAGCAGTAAATGCACGATCACATCCGTCCTGACACACAAAGACAAACAAAGACACGGGACACCTATAGGAACGGCACTCGATAGCTGCTTAAGTCGGAGAGTGCTCAAACTATTACACGGTTTTAGGGATTAATGTCAACGAGCGCTGAGACGTTCATTTACTGGATGTTGGTGCAAAATAAACGCTTTGCAATGTGATTTGTTCCAGATGTGTTTGAAAGGATTTTTCATAATAAACACATGTCTGCAGAGCCTTGTCATCAGCCCGCCACGTGAAGGTGGCCGCCTCCCTGTTCTTGAGCTCATTAGCTGGTCCGGGACGTGCAGATCAGTTTCACACATGTTTCGTGTTCTAGTCTTGTTGCATCATTGTTTTGGTGTCGGGCCTGTCATCTTTATATTCCTGACTGTACACACCTGCAATGCTTACAGTCAGGAATATGAGCACAACGGCAACAAGAAATGCACAGTTAAAAAATAAGATGTCATATTAAACATTCAAAGAGCCAACAGAAACAATACAGTTCGTAGGAAGCAAACTTAGTACTGGGTCTTTGGACTTTCCCGCTCAAGCCTAAGAACAATTGGCTTTCTGTGCCACGGTTTGCAGTCACACGCACAGGGCACAAGATTACAGACGATGGAGAAGTCCTGTTAACACGCAGAAGGCATGTGCCAAAATCCAGGGGAAATCCCCTTAAAGTGAACTTAAACCATGTGTAATAAAGCTTGACTAGAGATCTGTTGACGGAGAGTTATATAGCGTGAAAACATGCAGAGCACTTGGACGGGCTTCGTTGATTTAGTTATAGGCAGGGCGTTGAAACCCAAATTGGATTTGAGGGTATGTGAGAGATGTGTAGAGGAAAGAGGCCTGTGTGAGGGTCAGAGCAAGAGTACGTAGATAATGTGATTACTGAAGAATAATGTGGGGCCTAAGCTCCCTTGAATTACACCTCTGCACACCAGCGAAAGCCTCTAAATTCCCCCACAAAGTGATGGGAGAGAAGAGCTGCTCCCACGTGGAATAAATCACTGTTCCTGATGGGGAACCCTTTTCCTGCCAGACACCTATAATCACAATATAAATCCTAATCTTCAATCTAATCCACATAAGAGTTTCAACGCGGTTTATGCGGATTTCAGAGAAACATTTTTGCGCTGAAAAAATAAAGTCAAAGTGAGTGGTGTATCTGTAAAATGTCTTATAAATAGTAATCATGTAGTTATTTAAGTTTGAATCTTGCCCGTAAACACAAGAACCTGCTCTCCACGCGGCGGCTTTGATCCGTCAACCCTCTTCCTCGCTCGACGGATCAATGCAACGTAATTTCACATGTCCATTCCCTCAGATCGCTGAAAAACCTGCCACATAAATTATTCAGGCTGGCTGGCATGGGAAGCCCGTGGAGATGCCCGGTGGAGCTAGTGACCTTCCGTTTAGCTAGCACTCAATCAGACAATCGGGAGGTGGGGGGGGGGGGGGGGGGGGGGGGGCGGCAGGGGAACGACTTCTCTTGAAGTCCCTCGGCGGTCAGTCAGCGCCGTCACGCACGACTCTGGAGCACGCGGATAAACTCGCGATGCTCAGTGCAGAGATTAGAGGGAGCCGGAACACATTCACCAAGGAAACTGAAAAAAAAAAACTGTAGGATATTTATGGATTCAAGTCAGAAACGCCTCAGTCTTGTGGGACTAGACTTCCAAGTCAATGTCGTTTCAGATCTGGGGTACTTCATCGCTTTGGGTGCTCCTGCTGCGCTAGATTGTGACGACACTGGATGTTAATCCTGGATGAATTAGCTGTCAGTCAGTCCTGGCTGGGGAGCGCTGCACGGGTCCGAGGCCTGTTTTGTAAAAGCCACAGCCAAAAGGCACAGCAGTGGAACGCACCTGTTACCAGCTATTATCTTAAAGTCAAATCCAGAGCGGCCTGCAGCATTGATGCATTGACTCGACCGGTGATTAGACACACAGGGAATGCGAAGAGGTTCATGTTCACTCATTGGAACCTGTAGAATTACAAACTGAGACCATAATAAACCGTCCTCTAAATCATGATGCTACTCACCAGGCTGATATTTATTTGCTCCTTGAGGCTGCTTTTGTGCAGAAAAATAGAATACGGTCTTAAGTCCCTGGTTTAAACTTTTAAACTTGTTGTTAATATATAATAATTCTAAAAAAATTACTCGATGTTTTTAGATGAATAATTGTATTACTTGTTTAAAAGATCTTTATTATTATCATATGTATCTGAGGCTGGTTGAACTAATTCCTTGTGTTGCTCCAACCCCCGTTTCATTGATAAAGCTTGCTGTGTAAGAACTATAATGAAGGTAGAGATGGTAGAGATGGCAGCAGGAAGGAACAGAAAATAACTGGAAGCCACTGTTTCTGCAGTTCGGCTCACTGTGAGGCTAAAGAGATGAGAGCATGAAACTCACTGGAGTAAACTGGTCAGTCTGTGTGTGTGTGTGTGTGTGTGTGTGTGCATATGCATGTGCGTGTGGTTATTTTGTATTGGTGATCTCAGAACCACACGTATCTACATGAGAAGAGAGATACGTCAGTCTACAGCTCTAGACATTCAATTTGAAATACTACCAGGAATTATTGTTGTGTAAGTGTACCAGAATTTTAAATATTAAATATACCATTTCTGTATTTAATATTCAAACAAAAGAGATCAGCAGAGTACGAAGAAAACTACTTAGTGTTTCTTTACATGTGTTGTCCTCAGTGCTTAAGGCCCCATCCAAGTTCCCCAAGGCTTGTGTTCACAGCAGTGTGGTATCCTCATTCCGCTACAACTAGCAAAGGTAAATACGTTCATATTTAAGCAGACATTTGCTTGATAAACTGTTCTCCATTTTTAACATGTCACTGCACATCACTGCTCAGTGCTGTTAAATAAAATAACAGGCCAGGCATACAGTGGTGTGTCGAACATTGTGCTGCGTGTGTGTGTGTGTGTGTGTGTGTGTGTGTGTGTGTGTGTGTGTGTGGGCGGGGGGGGGGCACAGATGGGTCGGGATGAGACACAATATTGGTTATTGCACCAGCTGTGGATGATGTCATATTTCCAGTAGCCCACGATGCTTTGCTGCTTCCTCTCTTGCTTTAATGGCTTGTGTCTCTTCAACTCCCCACAAGCCTTCGGACCTTGGTGACCTTTGACCTGTGGCTGGAACTTGCTTACACTCTCTCAGAGGGGTTTTATCTCTCCCTGATGAAAACAACTAATCCTTCTGTAGTTGTGCATGTTGAAAAGAGCTTTGTATTAAGATAGAAATAACACAATGTGTTGCATCAGAAATACAAAAAAACAATGTGTGGAACGATTTGCTTCAGAACGCTTCAGGGAAGTACAGGATTTAGGTAATTTTGTCACGAATAGCCTGAGGGATGGGCTGACATTAACGCTGGTGTACAGGGCCTTTGGGATTACAATTAGGTGTGGACATTTACGTTCTTCTGCTCTTAAAATAAACCACACACACAAATAATTAACACACCTTTCCTCACATTAAGGAAAAAACAGCTACAACCCTCTACTACATAAAAATACTGCATCCCATAATTCAAATCAGAGCATCAACACAACTTTAATTGCTCAATTGTAATAAGTTCTTCAGTTAACTATTGAAAGACATGGTAGCACACTAGCACAAATTTAACATCTAGTACAGTTCAAAGCAACAAGCACAATAATTATTTAACTTACTTTCTACCTGCAGCTAAAGTGCTTAACAAGCCCGGTGAAAGATGTAATTAAAAACACGTTTTTACAGTAAGAGCAAAGGAAATGAGCCAGTTAGTCTGGAGCAGTGGGGGGCGGTGAAATTGATTTCAATATCTCCGAGAGGAAATCTCACAGACTAAAAGACTTCTCTGGAAGAGAACTAAGAGATAACGATACGAACATGGCCAGTCCATTTTACCTCGGTGGGATAAACCCATTCATCCGCAGTAATGGGAGCTGCACACGTGCCTCGCTGTCATTCTCATCAGGAGGAACATTACATCAAATGCACATAATGCACAATACGGACCAGAGATTTATGCCCCAGGAAATGGAAACCTACATCCTGTGTGTCGGGAAAGGGAGGTATAAAAATGTTTAGACTTGTTATGTTCC